ACTCTATTAGCTATATTGTGCAACTCGTGCTCACTCTACAGGCTACAATTCTTTACAGATTCTTTTGATTTTTATTTTGTGTGTCAATGTCATTATGAAGATGATCCCTATTGATTTTCTTGATGATCGGATAATTTTTCACCGAAATATCGTGTCTGACCTGACGTTTTACTCTATTAGCTATATTGTGCAACTCGTGCTCACTCTACAGGCTACAATTCTTTACAGATTCTTTTGATTTTTATTTTGTATGTCAATGTCATTATGAAGATGATCCCTATTGATTTTCGCGATGATCGGATAATTTTTCACCGAAATATCGTGTCAGAGTTGACGTTTTACTCTATTAGCTATATTGTGCAACTTGTGCTCACTCTACAGGCTACAATTGTTTACAGATTCTTTTGATTTTTATTTTGTGTGTCAATGTCATTATGAAGATGATCCCTATTGATTTTCGTGATGATTGGATAATTTTTCACCGAAATATCGTGTCTGACTTGACGTTTTACTCTATTAGCTATATTGTGCAACTCGTGCTCACTCTACAGGCTACAATTCTTTACAAATTCTTTTGATTTTTATTTTGTGTGTCAATGTCATTATGAAGATGATCCCTATTGATTTTCGTGATGATCGGATAATTTTTCACGGAAATATCGTGTCTGACCTGACGTTTTACTCTATTAGCTATATTGTGCAACTCGTGCTCACTCTACAGGCTACAATTCTCTACAGATTCTTTTGATTTTTATTTTGTGTGTCAATGTCATTATGAAGATGATCCCTATTGATTTTCATGATGATTTGATAATTTTTCACCGAAATATCGTGTCTGACCTGACGTTTTACTCTATTAGCTATATTGTGCAACTCGTGCTCACTCTACAGGCTACAATTGTTTACAGATTCTTTTGATTTTTATTATACGCCCACACGTAAGATGGGCGTATATTGTAATCACCCTGTCGGTCCGTCGGTCCGTCCGTTCACATTTGGCTCGTGCTCACTCTACAGGCTACAGTTCTTTATGGATTCTTTTGATTTTTATTTCGTGTGTCAATGTCATTATGAAGATGATCCCTATTGATTTTCGTGATGATCGGATAATTTTTCACAGAAATGTCGTGTCTGACTTGACGTTTTACTCTATTAGCTATATTGTGCAACTCGTGCTCACTCTACAGGCTACAATTGTTTACAGATTCTTTTGATTTTTATTATACGCCCACACGTAAGATGGGCGTATATTGTAATCACCCTGTCAGTCTGTCGGTCCGTCCGTTCACATTTGGCTCGTGCTCACTCTACAGGCTACAGTTCTGTATGGATTCTTTTGATTTTTATTTTGTGTGTCAATGTCATTATGAAGATGATCCCTATTGATTTTCGTGATGATCGGATAATTTTTCACCGAAATATCGTGTCTAACCTGACGTTTTTCTCTATTACCTATATTGTGCACCTCGTGCTCACTCTACAGGCTACAATTGTTTACAGATTCTTTTGATTTTTATTTTGTGTGTCAATGTCATTATGAAGATGATTCCTATTGATTTTCGTGATGATCGGATAATTTTTCACCGAAATATCGTGTCTGACTTGACGTTTTACTCTATTAGCTATATTGTGCAACTCATGCTCACTCTACAGGCTGCAATTTTTTACAGATTCTTTTGATTTTTATTTTGTATGTCTATGTCGTTATGAAGATGATCCCTATTGATTTTCATGATGATCGGATTATTTTTCACCGAAATATCGTGTCTGACCTGATGTTTTACTCTATTAGCTATATTGTGCAACTCGTGCTCACTCTACAGACTACAATTGTTTGCAGATTCTTTTGATTTTTATTATACGCCCACACGTAAGATGGGCGTATATTGTAATCACCACGTCGGTCCGTCGGTCCGTCCGTTCACATTTGGCTCGTGCTCACTCTACAGGCTACAGTTCTTTATGGATTCTCTTGATTTTTATTATACGCTCACACGTAAGATGGGCGTATATTGTAATCACCCCGTCGGTCCGTCCGTTCACATTTGACTCGTGCTCACTCTACAGGCTACAGTTCTTTTTGGATTCTTTTGATTTTATTTTGTGTGTCAATGTCATTATGAAGATGATCCCCATTGATTTTCGTGATGATCGGATAATTTTTCACCGAAATATCGTGTCTGACTTGACGTTTTACTCTATTAGCTATATTGTGCAACTCGTGCTCACTCTACAGGCTACAATTCTTTACAGATTCTTTTGATTTTTATTTTGTATGTCAATGTCATTATGAAGATGATCCCTATTGATTTTCATGATGATCTAGCGATTTTCGCGATGATCGGATAGTATTTCACCGAAATATCATGTCTGACTTGACGTTTCACTCTATTAGCTATATTGTGCAACCCTGTAGTCACTAAAGACTGTTTAATCATTTCTGACAGCTGCCAGTGGGCGTATGTTATCTTGCCTGGCAAGCTATCTTTATTCAAAATCAAAGCTGCTAATGGGCGTATATTACCTTGCCTGGCAAGCTATCTTATTTACTTTAATGATGACATTTGACATCTGTCAAATATTTCAATCAAATGTCATTATGTTTAAGTAATGCCATATCCTTGAAAATACTTGAAATATCTCAGAACTTGACGTGGAATGTCTTTGAAAATGAAATGTCTGCGGAAACCATGTCTACAATTTTAACCTATGAAATCCCTCTCAAGCAATTGATGCCGTTTTTTAACTTTTAACTACCGAAACTTTTATTGACCACTCATTAAATAAAGACAGGACAGCAAATATAAGATAACTTGCGTTGCAAGGTAACATACGCCCACTAGCAGCTGTCAGAAATAATAAAACAGTCTTTAGTGACTAAAGGACGAATTTTCTCATATTGAAGAAATTATTTATGCTGAATAATTCCACAAAATTTTTTAAAATCAATATCAATAACCCAAATACAACAAACAATTAAATCACACAGCTCTAATCAAGGGCAAAAAACAACTTTTGACGCGTTTTACAAAGTCAAGGGCAATAACTCAAAAAATGTTCATCAAAAATATCTCTTGTTAGAACTTATCCAAGAGCATATCGATTCCAATGATCACACCAAGTTTCATCAGAATCGGTTGAAAACTGTAGCTTCTATTGTGCTCACCAACAAATTTTGACGCGTTTTTCGTAAGTTAATGGCATTGACTCAAAAACATTTCATCGAAAATGCGTCAAGTCAGAACTTATCCGAGATCTTACCAATTTCAATGATCACACCAAGTTTCATCAGAAAACTGTAGCTTGTATTGTGCTCACGAACAAATTTTGACGCGTTTTCACAAAGTCAAGGGCTATAACTCGAAAACCGTTCATCAAAAATGCATCAAGTTAGAACTTGTCCGAGATCTTATCAATTCCAATGATCACAACAAGTTTCATCAGAATCGGTTGAAAACTGTAGCTTCAATCCTGCTCACGAACTATTTTTAACAAATTTTAACACGTTTTAACAAAGTCAAGGGCAATAACTCAAAAACCGTTCATCAGAAATGCGTCAAGTTAGGACTTGTCCGAGATTTTTTCAATTCCAATGATCACACCAAGTTTCATTAGAATCGGTTGAAAACTGTAGCTTCAATCCTGCTCACGAACTATTTTTAACAAATTTCGACGTATTTTAACAAAGTCAAGGGCAATAACTCAAAAACCGTTCATCGAAAATGCGTCAGGTTAGAACTTGTCCGAGATCTTATCAATTCCATTGATCACACCAAGTTTCATCAGAATCGGATGAAAACTGTAGCTTCAATCCTGCTCACGAACAATTTTTAACAAATTTCAAGGCTTTCTAAGTCAAGGGCAATATCTCAAAAACCTTTCATCGAAAATATGTAAAATTCGAACTTGACCGAGATTTTATCAATCTAAAGCATCATACCAAATTTTATCAAAATCAGATAAAAACTGTAGTCTCTATAGTGCTCACAAGAAATGTTGACGGACGGACGGAGGGGGCGACGACAATATACGACCACATATTCATGTGGGCGTATAAAAATCAATCTATGGCTTATTTCTTTTTAATTCAAATCGGTCGAAATGAATTATGTTTCGTGTGTTTCCAATGGAAATCGCTTATTTACCTGTATTTAGTTTAAAATTGAATAATTAATCACCGATTAAAAACTTGTTGTGTTCTGGATAACAAGATGGCCACCAAAGATAATATACAAAGGATCGAGAAAACAAGTTTTTTGAAAAGGAATATTAAAAAACAAATGCTTTTCACACTTTGGTTGATAACTTTTGACACCATTGATAAAAGATTAATCTACTAATCTAATCATAAATATGGCCTGGCCAAGTCATTGTTTGACTTTCTTTGTGCGATTACTCATTTAAAACATCGTATTTTCGATCCAACCAGTATGCATTTTGATTTAGTAATATGTCATTACAAAGTTGGCTCTCACCTACTCTTAAAACTAGTTCAAAACATCCATTGTAATTATCAGTGAACAATACGAATCAGTCTAGTCTAAGTCAAAGATCACCCAAGAAAAGGAAGTTTAGTAAAGTATGTAGGGAAGCTAAGTAAAATACAGTAATTTAAGTAAAGAGTTGTTTCTTACTTACTTTTCTTACACACATTATGATGCAATCAATTGTCGTCAAAGCATGACACATTTTCCAAATAATTTTACGCGTGTAGAAGTAAATATTAATGAAGTCTCCCTAAATTTTCATGAGGGAAATGTGATCTCTTCCTAAATTTTTGGTCTAGTTTGAACCCTGCTAATGGTGGAAACCAACTCACAAAAATGTCAATTGTAACTAATATTGAATTCACTTAATTTCTAATGTTATAAAGTTTGTATTTCTTATAATCATGGTGACGATAACACCCTGACTCTTTAGAATTTGGGTAGATTTTTGTGCATGTCATAGGAAAATTTTTTGATTATTTTCTTTTAGATCATCCCTTAAAGGAACAGCCAATGGAAACAGATGATAGTGACATAGAAAATGGTAATCAAGATACTAATAGTAAGCTTGAAAACAATGACAGCATACCTGATAAAGACAACTCACTTTTAGAAGAAAACAAAAGCAAATATGAAGATATCTCAGAAAATATTGAAAATTCCCAAAGTGGTGACCAAGAAAAAGAGATAAATGAGAACATGACAAACAAAAAAAAAGACAAAAGACCTTGTGGGAAGAATGAAGACCAAGTACAAGACACAAGTAGTTCAAATGATACAGAAAATTTGACCAGAGATAGAAATGAAAAGGATGACAAACCAACTGAAAAGGGTGACCAATCTACTGAAAAGGATGACAAACCTACTGAAAAGGGTGACCAATCTACTGAAAAGAATGACAAACCAACTGAAAAGGATGACAAACCTACTGAAAAGGATGACAAACCTACTGACAAGGATGACAAACCTACTGAAAAGAATGACAAACCAACTGAAAAGGATGACAAACCAACTGAAAAGGATGTCAAACCAACTGAAAAGGATGTCAAACCTACTGAAAAGGATGACAAACCTACTGAAAAGGGTGACAAACCTACTGAAGAGGGTGGAAGAAAGAAACAAAAAGGTAAGAACTATATCTTATCTACATAAGAAATATTTTGCATCACCTTTATTTATATTTTCTTATCGTGATTTGTTTCAATACTAGTGTGACCTTGTCTATGCACAGCTGTACTGTAACGAATATGTTCTAGACATTTGCTTGGTATCTTTGTTATTGACAGAGTCTACAGTGGCGCTTGAATCTGATTGAATAGAAATCTACATCAGTTTGGTGCAGTGAGACATTCATTGAAAATAGTACAGTTTTTGTGTGAATTTATAATTCAGTAATTATGACCATGGCTGCAGAACTTGTGGGAGTTGCCATTTTCTTTCAAAAATCGGTTGAGACTGGTAGATCGAAATAGGCTGAATATAATTTTCTCCCGCGAGAGAACATGCAAGCATTAGATTCTTGGATTGTAGAAATACTCATTGCCACAGTTCAGGCCTAATTGGACTAAACCTGGTGAAATAGTTTAGTGTTACCAAGGATTCACCCTTTCGAAAAGAAAGAAAATTGAAAATATCAAATATGAGTAACTGTCCTTGTTCTTCAAATCACTTTAAATTTTAAGCTTGTAATCACACTTCAATTCACAGTTAGTATCTGATTTGGACACAAACTAGTACTTGTCTAGTATAATCTAAGGAAAATAGTGCTATCGAAAATCAAAAAAGTTCTGAAAGAACGTCCTAATTCAAGCTTTATAAATCTGACACCTTCCTTCTTCAAGCCAACTTTTCTAAATCTGAAACCTTGTTACTTCAAGTCAATTTCCTCTTTAAGATGGGGTAGCTGTTCTTGGTCAAATGATGCTTATTCAATTGATTTGTGTTTCAAGTATTTATGAATTTGAAGATGATCTGTGGACAGACATAGAAAGGCTTTGGGAATCAAAGGAACTGAAACCTGATTGAAAAAGATAAAAATAAATTCCTCGTTAACGCACTTTAAGTTATATTCTTTCTATACGCCCACATGAAATGTGAAGCATATATTGGCATCACCCACATCCATCCGTCTGTCCATCGGTCCACAATTGCCTGTAAACACTCCAGAAGGCATCATTCTTAAAATGGATATTGACAAAACTTGGTGTGAGTGTTGATAATCACCCACGGAAGAACCCTTTTAAATATCTGAAAAATCCAAAAATATTTGATATTTGTTATTGTTCTTGTTCTTGAAAATGTCTTCAATTTTACATGTCCACACGAAAATGTGGTTGTATATAGCCCTGTCCGTCGGTCCATCAGTCCGTCCATCAACATTTGTTGTGGGCACAAAAGAAACTACAGTTTTCAACTGATTCTAAGGAAATTTGGTTGAATTCATATTGATGAGATCTTGGATAAGTTTGAATTTGACGATTTTTCTATGAACAGATTTTGATAATTGCCTTTGACAAAATTTGTTTGTGGGCAATATAGACACTACGGTTTTCAATGGATTTTGATGAAACTTGGTGTGAACGTTGGAATTGATAAGATCTCGGTCAAGTTTGAATTTGACGACTTTGCGATGAATTGATTTTGAGTTATTGCCCTTGACTTACTAGAATCGCGTCAAAATTTGTTTGATGAAACTTGGTGTGAGCGTTGGAATTGATAAGATCATGGTCAAGTTCGAAATTCCCAATCACTAATGCCTTTATAACAGTACAAAGTGGTAAAATTTGAATTTTTCAGAAGGAAAGAAGAAAAAGGGGAAAAATAATCAAGGTGGTGCCAGCACATCTCAGGTATTTTTGATATTTACCATGTCCTAAACTTCTGTTCTGTATTTTATTTGATTTTATTTTTATATAGCCACTCCAGTTAGGGTCTAAAGAGTCCGTTATATAAGATTGATCTGATTGAGAAGAAAGAAATAAAGAAAAAACTATATATTTCAAGGTTAACAACATAGACGACTTAGTATCCTTTATTCCAGCTGGTCCTTGGCCAAACCTCTTGGCATTAGACTTTCCCGGATTTTCCGAACCCTTTTTATACACCCACATGAAATTGGGGGTGTATATTGCCGTCACCAATGTCCGTCCGTTTATCCGTCGGCCTGTGATTGTTCGTAATCACCCAAGGATGACCCCTATTGAAAATCAGAAGAATCGAAAAATATTTAGTATAAGTTATTGCCCTTGTTCTTGAAAACACGTTCAATTTCTAGCTCGTAAACATTCTATAAGGCACAATTCTTGACAGGATTTTGATTAAACTTTGCATGAGTGTTTGTTATCACCCAAGGATAAACCCTATTGAAAATCAGAAAAATCGAAAAATATTTAGTTGGAGTTACTGCCACTGTTCTTGAAAACTTGTTTTTAGCTCATTAACATTCTCGAAGGCACAATTCTTGACGAAACTTGGTGAAATTGTTTATTATCACCCAAGGATAAACCAAATTGAAAATCAGAAAATCAATAAATATTTAGTACGAGTTATTGCCTCTGTTCTTGATAACGCATTCAATTTTTATCTCGTAATCACTCTAGAGGCACAACTCTTTTAACACCCAAGGGAACCCTATTGAAAATCAGAAAAATTGGAAATATTTAGTAGGATTTATTGCCCTTGCTCTTGAAAACTTGTTCAATTTTTAGCTCGTAAATACTCTCGAAGCCACAATTCTTGACAAAACTTGGCATGAGTGTTTGTTATCACCCAAGGATAAACCTTATTGAAAGTCAGAAAAATCGAAAAATATTTAGTATGAGTTATTGCCCTTGAACCCTATCGAAAATAAATTTTTTTTGGACAAAACTTGGTTTTATTATTCAGTACCGCACTGAATGTTGAATATTTGCCTTCCTAGAGTTTTCACAAGCTAAAAATTGAGCACGTTTTCAAGAACAAGGGCGATAACTTATACTCAATATTATTCAGTATTGCCCTAAAGAGTTCAAAAGAAGTGTATGACTGAAGGTTGAATATTTCATACTAGTGATTGTTACTGTACTGCTAAATATTTTTATTCAAAATCAAAGCTGCCAGTGAGTGTATATTACCTTGCCTGGCAAGCTATCTTACATCTTATGATTGGAATTATGAGTGAAGATGACTTATTCAAGGTCATTAAACTTTCACATGCTCATTAAGATATGAACAAAGTCACCAATTTTTTTTTCGATGTAATCAAGTAATTGACGTCATGTAAACAACCAACAGTCAAACTGACTGTGCTATAGAACCTCACAGCAGTAGCCATTCAAATCCCTACCTTCTCCAACACTGTGATTATGTGATGCTAACAAACGGTGTATTCCCAGAAGCATTACTCTAGTTTATCAATTCCACTGAAACTAAACACACACAGAATGTTGTTGAAACACGCTTATTTATTGAATGTACTGAATTGACCCAGTTAGATTCATTTTGTTAAAGCAGAGATCTTCAGGTTAGGTCAAAGGTTATTTAAATGAAAAAAACAAGAAGGACCCTAAAGAGAGTGGGTACTTAAATAAAGCCAATAAAACAGAAAGAGACGAATTATTATACATGTTTATGGAACCCTATTGACAATCAGAAAAATCGAAAAATATTTGATGAGTTATCGCCCTGGTTCTTGAAACTGTGTTTTGTACAAATATGACATTTGCAAATATCAATGAATGGTTTTCAGTTATTGCCTTTGACTGTGTCAAAATATGTTAAAGGTGTCTTGTGATATTGATAAAGGCTTTGATTTTGATCCAATTTAGAAGAAACTTAGTAGAGACCTACTGTTACTTTATGTTGAGATGCAACTGTCTGATTAGTTTTGTGTCTAAATTGGTTTTGAAGCTATATGATCTAATTTTGATAACTTGTGTTTGTTAGTTTTTCTAATTGTCACATTTATTTAAAGGGGCATTTTGCTTTAATTTAAATGTGTAAACAGGCCTTACTATGTGTGATATTTTATGTCCTTTGTATAGTTTCTATGAGTTGAACTGGCGACAGAGAAACCATTTTAAACATCAAATTTTATAATTGCTGACTTAAAAAATACATGATGTGATTTTAGTGTGAACAGATTATTTCTAATTACGGACCTACAACTCTTCACTTTCGGAGGTTCGTTTGTGAAATTGCTGCTGATTCATTTCACATAATCAAATATCGGCCAGTACAGTAAAAATGGAGCCCGGGGGATTCTAAATTTCTAAGCTGGTGAAGACTTTTGTAGCTGTTTGTGACTTAATGCTTGGATATTTTAAGTTAAAACTTTCACGAAAAAGGTTAGGGGCACATTCCTCTATATGTTGGCATACAGTTTGATGTATTTCACACTCCAAACACGAAAAACGATGGAAAAAAGCAGAATGCTCCTTTATGTTAAGATGGTAAAGGAACGAATATTGATGGATGAAATATTTAGTTCAAGTTTGAATACGACTTTTTCAAAATCATGTGTCAAAATTAGCTTGTTTGCATGGTTGACTTTGAGATTTATTTAATGTGGATTAAATTTGGTAGAACTACATAATATTTTTGGTAGCTAGCTGTTAAATAATCTGTACTTTGTTTCAGGTACCTACTAAAAAACAGCCGGATTCAAGGTAAATTTTGATTCTTTTGGATTATTTCTACATTTTTTGACACTGTTTATATATACCTTGAACAAAAAGTTAAACAAAACTTGGTACGAGTGTTCGTAATCACTCAAGGAAGAACCATATTGAAAATAAGAAGAATCGAAAGACGTAAACACTCTAGAAGATGCAATTCATGACGGATTTTGATGAAACTTGGTGTGAGTGTTTGTTATCACCCAAGGATGAACCCTATTTAAAATCAGAAAGATCGAAAAATATTTAGTATGAGTTATTGCCTTTGTTCTTGAAAACATGTCAATTTTTAGCTTGTAAACACTCTATAAAGCACAATTCTTGACTGATTTTTACGAAACTTGGCATGAGTGTTTGTTATTTACCAAGGATAAACCCTATTGAAAATCAGAAATCAAAAAATATTTGGTATGAGTTATTGCTCTTGTTCTTGAAAACGCTTTCAAATTTTAGCTCTTAAACACTGAAAGGCATGATTCTTGCCAGATTTTGACTAAATTTGGTTATTATACGCCCACATGAAATGGGGCGTATATTGCCGTCACCCATGTCCGTCCGTCGGTCCGTCAACAATTGCTCGTAATCACTCTAGAAAGCACAATTTTTGACTGATTTCGGCGAAACTTAGTATGGTTGTTTGTAATCACCCATGGATGAAAAATTGAAAAATATTTAGTATGAGTTATTGCCCTTGTTCTTGAAACGCTCGTAAACACTCTAAAAGATGCAATTCATGACGGATTTTGATGAAACTTGGTGTGAGTGTTTGTAATCACCCAAGGATGAACCCTATTTAAAATCAGAAAGATTGAAAAATAGTTAGTATGAGTTATTGCCCTTGTTCTTGAAAACGCGTTCAATTTTAGCTTGTAAACACTCTAGAAGGCACAATTCTTGATGGATTTTGATGAAACTTGGTGTTAGTGTTTGTAATCACCCAAGGATAAACCCTATCGAAAATCAGAAAAAATGAAAAATATTTAGTATTAGTTATTGCCCTTGTTCTTGAAAACGCGTTCAATTTTTAGTTCATAAACACTCTAGAAGGCACAATTCTTGACGGATTTTGACGAAACTTGGCATGAGTGTTGGTTATCACCAATGGATAAACCTTTTTGAAAATCAGAAAAATCAAAAAAATATTTAGTATGAGTTATTGCCCTTGTTCTTGAAAACGCGTTCAAATTTAAGCTCGTAAACACTCTAGAAGGGACAATTCTTGACGGATTTTGACGAAACTTGGCATGAGTGTTTGTTATTTACTAAGGCTAAACCCTATTGAAAATCAGAAAAATAAAAAAATATCTAGTATGAGTTATTGCCTTTGTTCTTGAAAACGCTTTCAAATTTTAGCTCTTAAACACTGAAAGACATGATTCTTGCCAGATTTTGACAAAATTTGGCTTGAGTGTTTGTTATCACCCAAGAATAAAGCCTATTGAAAATCAGAAAAAATCGACAAATATTTAGTATGAGTTATCGCCATTGTTGTTGAAAACTCGTTCAATTTGTAGCTCGTAAAGACTTGGTTTTATTATTCAGTACTGCGCTGAAGATTGAATATTTGTCTTCTAGAGTTTTCACGAGCTTAAGATTGAACACGTTTTCAAGAACAAGGGCAATAACTGATACTCAATATTATTCAGTATCACCCTAAAAAGTTCAAAAGAAGTGTATGACTGAATATTTCATACTGGTGATTGGTACTGCTAAATATTTTTATTCAAAATCAAAGCTGCCAGTTGCCTGGCAAGCTATCTTGAACTATTGTTTCGCAAATGAATTCAATTCACAATCATACTTGCATACTTGATAACAGAGATGTATATATTGGGACCTAATGTTGAAAACAACATGTATTCGTGACAAAATCAACAAGAGGAAGTGGATGATCGTACATTATATTGTGTTAATAGCCCCAAAATCCAAAGTATCTGTTTTTCATCAATTATACCATAGGGCTTGAAGCGACTCATCAGCCAGTTATAGAGATGGAAACAACATTGAAAGGAAACATTACATTCTCACGAATAGTTTAAAGCAGTGTTTATTCAAAAGCGAGTGTATCTGTCTTTGAATGTCCTGTTAAGGAATTTGCCACTCCTGATGCAATGCTGCATCCAACTCTGTTACAGGAGGGTCTCTACGACGTACGTCCCAGAATGTCCCAAAGATGTTCTATTGGATTAAGATCAGGACTGCAAGCAGGCCATGGTAATGGGCCCTTGTTGCATAATCTGAGTTACCGCTCTGGCTCAATGGGGTCTGGCATTTTCATCCATGTACACTGGCCTCGTTCGAAGAGGGTGATTGTCAAAGTGCAGAATTACAACAGGAACAAAGATGTTATCACGATACTTCACAGCGTTTAGTGTGCCTGGAACAGTCACGAGGTTTAGTTTGCAACAATAGGAGACACATCCCCATATCATGACACCACCACTCTGATACGTTGGTTGGACATGTCTGGGTTAACAAGTGTTACGTTCTCGCCAAACACGAATTCTGCCATCCGTAACATGCAGGAGCATACTACACTCGTCAGACCAATGGATGCGGCGCCATGATGCCATGTTCCAACATGCTCTCACTTTATACCACCTTTAACGTTCATGAATGTGTCGATCTGTCAATTTAACGCGTTTGAGAGGTCTACGTGCTTTATACCCTGCCGATCAAAGACAGTTCCTGACAGTTGAAAAAGAAACACTCCTATGAGTGTTCCAATTATCCCTCAGTTCTGGGGCACTAAAGAAAGGGGTGCGTCTTACGGCTTGAAAAAGTGCTCTGTCTTAACGGACAATTGTAACTCTCGGACGCCCAGATCTGACACGGTCTTTAACGTCATTGGTTTGGGAATGTTTTTGTCATTATGCTGTGGTGATACCCTACGCCGCTTTAAACAAGGGGAGGTGAATCTTCAATGTTCCGTCAACCTTCCCTGACGTCGTCATTATGGTGTCACATAACAAGACTGTAAGTTTCAAGATAAGACTTCATAATATTGAATGACACTTGGACGAAATTAAACCCCACCAAAAAAGCAAACGCATTATTTGTAAAATGATTATATTTACACTCCAAATCACCCCAATGAATAATATTCATAGTCAAAGTCCGATAGCGGCACTCATCGATTATCGAACCTGAATCAGAAAAATGAATCAATGTAGAATCTGAGATAAAAACTGCACATGAAATCATAGAAATATTTCCCAATTTTTAGCAAAATAATAGAAATATATTGGAAAAACTATAAGAATCAGAGACCACATAAACCATGACATGTTCAACGGGTAGTTGTCCTACAAACTATACTTGTATCAGTTGTATCAGATATTCGTAAAAGGCTCTTAATAAGGGGTGGGTTTACCGAAGGGGGGGGGCTATCAACTATCACCCCCATCACATTAATCCCAATGTTATTATGACAATTTTTTATTACAATATCTCACTATTGAAATGTGCATGTATTGTAGTGTCAGTGGAAAGAGTGTGTTCACATTGCCATAGCAGTAATATTCCATTATTTAAAAAAAAAATATCCAGAATATATAAATTGTGAGAAAGACTTATGTTGTGGACTAGAATACAGCTCTTACAGGATTTTCTGCAAAGTATATATATTAGGAATGGAACCCACATGTTCAACCCAAGAGGAATATGAAAAAAATTGGTCTCTCATAAGATACTTTATTTTATATCCATGAAAATTAACAATGTATGTATAACAAATCTATTTTAACATTCTAATATCACTGTATAGATTGATAAAAACATACTATATCAGGTTGTAAGGTTTTATGAAACAATAATTTTTAACAACAACAAAAATAACAAATATAAGCATAGTGTTTTGCTTACTATTAGTAATAAAAATTCAGTTTTTATATATTATTCAGTAGAAGTAATATTTTCATATCTGCTCAGAAGAAATTTATATCAATAATTTGCATGCCATGTACTAATATATGGTGTCAAATTCTAACACAAAATCACAATGCAAAGAAAATGAAATTAATAAAATCCAAGAAATCAAAACAATAATGACATAACACAGACGAAGAAGAATTGTCAACTGTGGTTACCAATAAATTGCAGAACTTTTCTATTTAAAAAAAAATCATGTACTCCATTTAAATTTTGACTAATATTTTTATAAGATTTTCAAAATGTTTTATTAAGGATATAAGCAATCATTTCGCCTTTCATCTGGCACCCTTTCATCATCAGAGGGATCAAAATCAGTTAAAAATGATCTAAATCCGAATCATTTACTACCGTGCAATTTGTTTTGCCATATTTCACCCAAACCAATGGCATTTCCTTTAAAATCAGTAGCTCTTCTTCTGTTCCAATTCTTGTTTACAGCTATTCTTCTTATAAATATTTGAATTCTGAAAATATAAATCTACAATTATTAAATTGTGAAAAATATCATTATGCCTTCCATATTACATTGTTAGGCTTCACAAATTTGACCTGGGCTTGGGCTTATAATCGAACAATATTCCCATTCTGTAAAATCAATACCAATATGTAATGTTTCTAGTGTTATGCTCTACAAGGCGTGGCCATTGCCCTACTAAACAAATATAATTACTTGCGTTACAGCTTGAAAAAATCAATCAAAATCTCAAAAATCTTCGATCTTTTGTAGTGAAATGATCCAGTTGGTAAAGTTGACGGAACAAAGTGACAGATACCGACTGCGCGCGCAAGATAAAGATAAGCGTCATTTTTATTGGCTGATGGAAGTCGGACGTCATTTTTGAGTTATTGCCCTTGATTTATGAAAAACGCGTCAAAATTTGTTTGTGAACACAATAGAGAGTACAGTTTTCATCCGATGTAAATGGAATTTGGTATAATGATGAGATCTTAGTCAAGATTAAATTTGAGAATTTTTCGATCAATAGAATTTGGGTTATTGCCCATGACTTAGTCAAAACGCATCAAAATTTGTTAGCGATAGAGGTGACAGTTTATGTCAGAATTTTATTAAATTATGTGTGTTTGTTTAAATCAACAATACCTTGCTCTAAATTAGATTTTTGGTATGATTTGACACAGATAGATGACTGCCTTTGATATACTGAAAATGTATCAGGAAAGTGGGCGTATCTTGCTAAGCAACCACTTGTTATATTCTCCATCAGAAAATATACTAAATTAAATTTAGTGGCGGTTAACTTTTTGTTCACATTTCTTGTAGGCGCGATAGAGGTTACAGGTTTTATCCGATCTTGTTGAAACTTGGTATGCATGTAAATGTTGATGAGATCTCGGTTAATTTCAAATTTGGTAGTAATCCGATGAACGGTTTCAGAGTTATTGCCCTTGACTTAGTAAAACCGCACCAAATTTGGCTTGTATGCATGATATAGACTACAGTTTTTATTTGATCTCAATGAAACTTGGTATGCATGTATATATTGATGAGATCTCGGTCAAGTCTAAAATTGGTAACAATCGGATGTTGGGTTTCGGAGTTACAGCCCTTGTCTAAAAAAAAAACGCATCAAATTCGGCTTGCAGGCACGATAGAGACTACAGGTTTTATACGCCCACATTATAATGTGGACGTATATTGTCGTCACCCATGTCATTTATATTGATGAGATCTTGGACAAGTTCAATATTCACGATTTTTTGATGAACGGTTTTTGAGTTATTGCCCTTGACTTAGCCTAAACAAATTGAAATTGGCTTGTGAACGCAATAGAGACTACAGTTTTCATCTGATTCGAATGAAATTTGGTGTGATCATTTATATATTGATGAGATTTTGGACAAGTTCGATATTCATGATTTTTCATGGGCGGTTTTTATACCCCCACATATAATGTGGTCGTATATTGTCGTCACCGCTGTCCGTCCCTCGGTCCACAATTGGCTTGTTATATTTTAATGAAATTTGGTGTGATCATTTATATTAATGAATTCTTGGACAAGTTCAAATTTGATGATCTTTCGATGAACAGAATTTAAGTTATTGCCCTAGACTTAGTAAAAACGCATCAAAATTCGTTGGCTTGTTAATGCGATAGTTTATGTCAGAATTTTATTGAATATTGTGTGTTTGATTAAATCAACTATATCTTGCACAAATGAGATTTTTGGTATGATTTGACACAGATTGGTGACTGCCCTTCATATACTGAAAATGTATCAGGAAAGTGGGCGTTTCTTGCTAGGCAACCACTTGTTATCCAATCTTGACGAAACTAGACATGCAAATATATATTGATGAGATCTCGGTTAAGTTAGAAGTTGATAATATTTGGATGAACAGTTTCAGAGTTATTGCCCTTGTGTATACAGCAATGAGACATTGTTCATGTTTGAATTCGATGATAATTCGATGAACTGTTTCAGGTTTTTGCCTTGACTTGTAGATGATTTAAGATTATTTTAAAATTCATTATTAAACCACAAAAGATTTTCGTTATCATTCCTTACAGCTGGTGGTGGGCGTATGTTACATTCCCTGGCAAGCTATTTTTCCCTTATGTCTGTCAGTCGATCTATTCGACATCAATTGCTGGTGAACACTCTAGAAGGCACAATTTCTTGACAGATTTTGATGAAACTTGTTGAAATTGTTTATTATCACCCAAGGGAAGAACCCTTTGAAAACCAAAAAAGTTATATGATTAAAGGTTGAATAATTTATAAGGGTAATGGTCACCGATCTTTTCTTGACCAAAATTGTCAGTTAAAACTATCTTTATTCTGTAGCAGGAGGGATCAGAACGGTCACTGAACACAACCAGAACTATCTGAAACTCTTCTAGTTTCAAATTATCGGTCGACAATGATCTTGGTGATGTGTATAGCTCTCCAATTCTGTTGTCAACCTTAATGAGCAATACTCATCAGGAGTTAAGGGTTTTGATCAAGATGTTGGATAGTGGTCTCAAGAGGAGAAGAATAGGCTCGTTTGTTCCTATTATAAAACTCAGCGTAAACATAAAGAACACAGTAACAAAACAAAATACAAACACTATCAAAATAAACATTCTCAACCAATGAATAACAATAGCCTGATTACCTAATCTGAAGATAATTAGCCAAGTGTTGTAACTCCCATAGACCTGAGCTGAATTCCTGACTCCAACTGAGTCTCGACCGACCAACCACCTGACTGAGTGACCAAACAATGCCGAAGTATGGCTGTGTGCTGATTACTTTGGTAATAGTTTTCAGTAGTTGTAGTTGTAGATGTTCTTTATTTGACCTCCCCTTACCAAACCCACCACTGAATGCCTGGCAGAAGTCTATTTCCTTTTATGGGAATGTCTATGGAGAATAGTGATTAATATAAGGATTGTTCTTTTTCTGGGCTTCTGGTCTAAAAGAGGATTTGTAACAATTCTTGTTATTTTGAATCTGGCACATTCTCCATCTTTTATCAAGCTTCATGGACAGTGTTTGACATTCATGAGAACTTACTTTCCATTTTTATATTTTCTTCAGACCGATATTTTGAATTAAGTTGATCTAACTTCCCATAGAAAAGTTCAAGGTGATAACAAAACATATATTTAACCTTTAATTCAAATCATATTTATTTGTAGGAAAGTAAAAGTAAATTTTCATGTTTTACTGCCGAAAGAGTTTCACATGGATGTAAAAACTGATCAACTGTTTATTCGTGGTGATGATGCTGTTCTTGGTGGTTGGAGTTCTACGAAACATAAGATGGATAAGATTCAGTAAGTAATTGATTATTTTTAACCAGAAGAAATTAAGATAGATATGACATACCAAATCTCAGTAAATAAGTAGCCAATAGTTTTAAAATTTATGGCTTCTGTTGTAAATGCCCACATTCTTTTTGAACATTTTACAATCCTTTGTCATAACCCAACCCAGTTTTCTCTTTATAATTCTTTGAATTTGTAAGTTGTGACATTGTGAATTATACTTCCTCTGATACTTGTGGGGAAAATGGTGTTTACGACCTTCTCACAAATCCGAATGTCATGCTATACATGTGTACAGGTCAAGAAAAAAAATCTGGAGATTTGCCTTGAAAAATCTGGAGATGGGGTTAAAAGTCCGGAGATTTTTCCAAAGCGCGTAAATTCGTGATTTGAAACTCCAAATTGATTCTTTTAAATAAGCCTTAGGCCTATATGCCTTGTAAATTAATTAAATTGATCATAGGCCTACATGACACAGATAGGCAAAATAACTCTAGAAATAGTGCCTGATATGTCAAATGTAGGGGCCCAAAAAAATCTAATATTGTCATTCTTCAGTATTGATTGAATCAAAATTAATGTCAAGTTGAAATGATGTTTGAAAACAAGAAAGCAAGCATGACCCCAGCCCTCTAAATTAACTAGTACCGGTAGGCCTACATAATAATAACATATTCAAAAATCAGTATGTTCTGAAAGCAATATTTAGTAAGTAATATGTACTGGCAATGTTACTTTTTCCAAAGGTGTAATTCATGACATCTTAAATATCTCGATTCCGATCATTAAATACTTTTCCTGCAACACTCACACGAAGTATTGAACTGAATTTACCGCTTCCATTTTGACGTTCTTCAGAATGGAAAGACTGGTATTAAGTAAACCCGTTATGCTGGCAATAAATGAATGTTTACAGGCTACAGTAAAATTACAAAACAATTTTATGAAACGAATTTTGAGATTACATAAGACTTAGGCATCTACTGTCGCATGATAATCTACTGATTATAAAAAAAAATATGAAACGACATCTATGTTATATATAGGCCTATTATAGACCTCACAGATTGACAGTGTAAATACTATGAAGACTTCATATTAATTAATCAGACAATGATAATATTATTACGTGATGAGATTAACGTGTGTTACCGACAATTAAGATACAAGTAATGATAAATATATTGTTGATTTATGGTAGAGAAGTTGGACATTGAAAACGGTGAAAATTTGGTCAGGAAAAAAACAAAAAATTGGTAGAATCAGCCATCGGTAGAGCGGTGGACAACATGTAAAAGCGGTAGAAACCTGACAACATCGGTAGATTACACATGTATGTGACATGCGTGTATGTGACATGCGTAAAAGACTAAAGACTAAAGACCGTCGTGCACTTACCAATTTATTTTGTTGAAAAATTGGTAAATAATGTGTATAAGGCGTAAGACAAAATTTGAAGTGATCGCGAGATATCTGGCATATTTCATCGAGAGACGTCCTGACAGGCCTTGTCGGCTTGTGTGTGGGTTTTCCCGATAATAGAATTTCTGGTACATATCAAGTGCTTCCACGAATTCACTGCCTTCATCTTCCATTCAAGAAGAAATGGTGTCTGTTAACAAGAAATAAGTTACACAAAAACAGCTCCTCGTCCTTTGCCAAATCATTTCCAATCTGGATGACATATTTTTTACGGTAGCTCTGCAGAAAGCCACTAGAGCCTAGCGCTATATAAAGACAGTACTTGTGCGTTGAGTTCACATCCCAATCAACGCTGCTGAAAAATACTGAGCTATGTCAAAAATTGGTTAGTGTGTGCTGACCATAATAATAATTTTTATTTTTACACATGGTTGTGGTGAAGGTTGGAGAAGTTGTCAAAATCAGTGTTCATGACTTTTCAAAGTAGTAATACAAGAAAAACCCAATATCTAACGTGATTTTAATACAACATTGATTCTGTATAAACGCTAATCACGAAAGGTATATATCAATTAAAATATCAGGGACAGCTACAGTAAATTTGCGCATTTTCTCGTTTTTATTGCCCATATGATAATGCGGTCGTATATTGCCGTCTACCCAGTCCGTTGGTCCGTCCGTCATTGTGGGAACAATAGAGACTACAGTTTTAATCTGATTTTGATGAAACTTGTTAGAATTGGAATTTGAATTTCTGATGAACTGATTTTTATACGTTCACATGAAAATGTGGTTGTATATTGCCGTCGGTCAACATTTGTTGTGGGCACAATAGAGACTACAATTTTCAATGGATTTTGATAGAACTTGGTTTTAGCATTGGAATTGTTAAGATCTCATTCTTGAAAATTTTGATTTGACGATTTTTTTATAAACGGATTTTGAGTTATTGCCCTTGACAAATTTTTTTTTGTGGGCACTATATAAACTACTATTTCAATGGATTTTGATGAAACTTGGTGTGAGCATTGGAATTGATAAGATCTCAAGTTCAAATTTGACGACTTTTCGATAAACAGATTTTGAGTTGTTGTTGCCCTTCACTTATTAAAATAGCGTCAAAATTTGTTTGTGGGCACAATAGAAGCTACAATTTTCAATGGATTTTGATTAAACTTGCTGTGAGCATTGGAATTGTTAAGATCTTTGTCAAGTTTGAATTTGATGATTTTTCGATGAACAGATTTTGAGTTATTGCCGTTGGCTTAGTGGAATCACGTCAAAATTTGTTTGTGGACGCTATAGAAGCTACAATTTTCAATGGATTTTGATGAAACTTGGTGTGAGCATTGGAATTGATAAGATCTTCGTCAAGGTTAGTGATGTCTGCGACAATCGATTATCGGTCGTTGAAAGTCCAGCGATGTTACTAATCGATTCTCAACTGAAAGTCGGTGACGTCGGCAAACCATATAAAAAGTCAGTCATGTTGTTTTTTGTTGATAATATAAATTTCTAATAATGAATTAAACTTAACTTATTACAAGATTAGGTGACTAAAACAATGAGATCCTGATCATTTGTCACACCTTTGAATAATTTTTTTTGAGGACTAGCCTTAGATTCAGCATAGAAACAAATGAGGCTTGATATCGTAGTCACAGATTGTGCTGAATAAGGTTTTATACTGAAGTGGATATCAGACGACATTTCGGGGAGTAGAGAAGAACATCATTGATATGGCCCATTTGCAAAAATTCATGCTTCATCATTTAACGATTGAAATAAGACACTTCTATTTGTAACAAAATAATAACAACTCATAAATATCCATTTTCGTTAGAAATACTGCAAACTCAAGCTTAGTTTGGAGAATCTACTCGCGACCTTGAAAATTTAGACCCAATGTCACGGGAATAAATAGAACAAATGCAAGTATTTCATCACTTCAAAAATAACACTAGAGCCACACGTGGCACAGAGTTGGACTTTGCAAATGTAGCAAATTGCAAAAGACCCTGAAAAAATCAACCTTCGACGATAATTACATCACGTGCAAGAACAGTCTAAAGTTGAGAAATTTTCATTTTTTAGAAGATTCTAATACCGGAAGTAGACGTCAGACCTCACAAATGAAAGTATCAGCAGATAACCAAGGTCAATGACCTTTGATCTTGTAAAAGAGTAGGTCTAAAAAGGTCAAGATCAAGAGATATACGTCATCAGAATTTCAAATTGCACACGACTATAAAACCGGAAGTTGACATAGGACAGCAAAAAGTACAAATAGATAGCCAACGCCAATGACGTTTGATCCTACAAAGGTCAAGGTCAACAAAGGTCAAGGTTGAAAAATGTCAATTTCCAAAACCTGTTCCTTTTTTTGAACTATGAAGCGGAAACAACCGAAATTCTAAGACAAAGTGGCTCAAAATATGAGGTAATTGTGTGCAAAGTTCCATTTTGAACAAATGTATACTTTGCGAGTTATGCCCCTGGCCAAAAATGTCAATAATGAGTAATTTAACCCGGAAGTGCCACGCCCACCTCAATTTTTTGGCATAGGTTATTTAATATTCCAAATGTTACGTTTTGTTCCAAATGTCAAGTTCCTACATAATAGAGGTCAAAAGATATAGGTCAACAAAAGTCAACAAAGGTCAAAATCGAAAAATGAAAATATCCAAATGTAAAAAACTTGTTCCTTTTTTGGAACTATAAAGCTGAAACAACTGAGCTGTTAACACAAACTGGCCAAAAGGATGAGGTAATTGTGTGCAAAATCCCTTTTTGAACAAACGCATCCTATGCGAGTTATGCCCCTGCCTCTAAATGTAAACAATTAGTAATTCAACCCGGATGTGCCACGCCCACATAAGTTTTTTGGTCATAGGTGAATTCATATTCAAAGTGTCTAGTTGTATTCCAAATATCAAGGTTCTACATCAAATAGATCATAAGATATACATACACCAAGCTCAAAAAGATGCAAATATTGTAAACAAAAACTCAAATTTGAAAAAATTTCAATTTTGCTTTAAAATAACGATTGTTATATATCTATGTAAAGTGCATGAGAAGCACATTAGGAAACCGAAAAAATTAACCCTATAGGTTAATTAGGTCACGTGCTAGAGCAGTCCAAAGTTGCGAATTTGGCTTTTTATGGATAGCTATTAAACCGGAAGTACAAAGGTCAAAGTATCAATTGATAGCCAAGGTCAATTACCTTTGACCCTATGAAGGTCAATGTCATCAAAGGTCAAGGTCTCATGGTGTGGGTGTTTCAAGTTGGAAAAAAATGTAACCAGAAGTTGCAAAAAAGCAAAAGCGAAATTCAAAATTCGGCTCCCAATGTTTTTTGCGCAATCGATTGCGGAATACATTCACATAAAATTTGAGCATATCAATCTTTACCCTGAGGCCCCATTTTGAGTTTTACAAAAATGTGTTTTTTCAACATGGCGGCCAAAGTATCACTTCCGGTCTGAATTTTATTTTAAAATCGGCCATAGAATTTTATTTGCCAAAGATCAGCTAAATTTTGTTGACCTACCTTAATTACACCGGAAGTTATTCAACCGGAAGTAG